GTTTTGAAAATGGTCTGAAGTATTCTGCCATCACCTTTCTAGCCTTGCAGAAAAGAGGACTGCAGATCTCATAGCTAATATTCAAACTGAAATTGGACCACATAGATAGGAGAAATCAACTTGACATCAAAGGTTTTTCCATCCTCCCACACGTGTTCTTCTGACCACAATCTCAATCCCACAGGTGATTTTTATTTTTAGTTCACTTTCTGGAAGAGGAAAAAATGTTTTTACACATTCACTGCACCACAGCCACGTGTGCTACAGGAACCTGAATATGCAGCTACGATTCATCATGTCAAAAACGTAGACAAGCTCATAAGCAAGACCACGACAAGGAATACTTTATATGCCCTTAGAAATGTTATGATATGGGCTATTGCTGCCCTTTTGGAAAGCAAAGATCTTTTCAAATCTTTGCATCAATAATATTTTTGGAACACAGTACTTTTCAGAGAATATTTGTAGCTAAAGCAGAGATTGTTATATGAAAATCATCCCAAATAGCGGCCATTAATATAAAAGATAATTATAGACGGTATGTTTTAAAAAATGGGGGGGTCAATTTTATTAACATTGGTTGAAGTAGAAAAACTATGTATCATTATGTAATAGTAGCCCCAGCGTCCATAGAACACCACAATTCCATATAACCTTAAACTACACTACAAAGCCAAGCAAATCAAACACTGTTTGGTAACTTTTCAAACATGCTGCTTAAAAGCTGTGTGATTTTAAATGAGTAAACTTTCAAACACCATTTTTGTCTCTAAGATGATGGCATCTGAATACCACCCTCCACCCAGCTCTAAGAAGCTAAAATAAAATCATATGTGCCTAAATGCTTTACATGATACAGACATGCAAAAATAAGGATGCTTTCTTTTAGAGGCATAAGGTGTTGAAAATACTCAAAGCCTTTTTTGATTTGTTCAAGTAGTTTCTATTTACTCATGGGGATTAATTATAGACTTCCTGTCTTCCCAAAAAATGCATGGATTTATTTTGATAGATTTTAAAAGCACGGAAACACAGTAAACTGATCAAAATCCCCCCTCAAAATGATTAAAGGTCTCATTAGATTCACTTGTGTCAAATTCATAGATGTGTGTTTGATACAAATGTTGAGAGAGATAAATTCCTGTGATTGGTGAGAAACAAACAGTATCATCTTTTTTAAAGACACCAGAGTATGCAGTTCTATCAATGGTTTATTTTTATTTTAATTAGAAAGAAAATTATTTTACATGTCAATCCCAGGTTCCTTTTCCTCCCCTCCTCCTCTACCCCCCCAACTAACACCCTACCTATTCCATACCCTTTCTGCTCCCAAGGGAGGGTGAGGCCTTCTGTAGGGGTCTTCAATGTCTGTCTTATTCTTTGGGATGGGGCCTAGGCCAACCCCCTTGTGTCTAGGCTCAGGGATTATCAATCCATGTGGGATGGGCTCCCAAAGTCCATTCCTATGCTAGGGATAAGTACTGATCCACTACAAGAGGTCCCACAGATTTCCAAGGCCTCCTCACTGACACCCACATTCAGGTGGTCTGGATCAGCCCCATGCTGATTGCCCAGCTATCAGTCTGGGGACCAAAAGCTCTCCCTTGTTCAGGTCATCTGTTTCTTTGGGTTTCATCAGCCTAGTATGGACCCCTTTGCTCATCAGTCCTCCTTCTCTGCAACTGGATTCCAGTTCAGTTCAAGGTTTAGCTGTGGGTGTCTGCTTCTACTTCCACCAGCTGCTGGATGAAGGCTATACAATGGCATATGAATTAGTCATCAATCTCATTATCAGGAGAGGGCATTTAAGGTAGCCTCTCCTCTGTTGCTTAGATTATCAGTGTTTTAAAACCATATTATACTGCATTCAGCATCAAAAGCATTACCTCTGTATTTCACATATCTTCCTGCCAGGGAAAAGGCAATAGTAAGAACAGTCCAAACAAATGGCTACCATCATTGATTATTTATGTCCCTAGTTACATGCATTATATCAATTAATCCTTGCAACAATGCTCTGATGTTTGGGGTGTGATTATTTCCACTGTCTGTATTAGTGGCAGAACTAAGGCACAGAAAAGCTAAGTAGTCAACCCAAGATCTCAGAAGAGGTGTCTACCCCTGTTCATACAGATCTTGCCTGAAAAGTTTAAACCTTGGAAAATCCACTTAGCTTTTGCCACACACACACTACTTGGACAGCATGCAAGGACAAGTGTCCATGAAATGGCTTTCACTATTGCTATTATCTGGACAGCTATCGGTTTTCCTGAACGATGCTGAGCAATTCAATTATACAATTGTTTTGATGGACATATGTGAAGATAGACATTTTTTAAAGCTCATCTGTTACAAATAGAGCAACTAAGGTTCCCAAAAGGCAACTCATTTGTTCAAAATCACAGACTAGGTATCAAACACAGCTTAGCTGAGATTTAGTGTGACTCTGTAAGAACCCTACATGATAAACCTCTTCAAGGATGGCATGTCATGGTGCTAAATATGCATTATCCATTTTATATGGACATCGTAATGGTCTCCATGTCTCCTGATTCTCAGTTACTCCATCTTTGTAGCTCTATCTAATGAGATTTCAGACACTCCCTTCCTCACATCTGATTTTACAAAGTTACAACACAGATGTCCAGAAACCAAACTATGGTGCTACTCAAGTGACCTATTGAAGTCATCCAAATGAATTCAACTGACAGACATCACTTTTAGTGCCACAAAAGTCTCCCTCAGGCAGAGGCAGGTGGATCTCTGTGAGTGCAAGGCCAGCTTGGTCTACAGAGTGAGTGCCAGGATAGGCTCCAAAGCTATACAGAGAAACCCTGTCTTGAAAAACCAAAAAAAAAAAAAAAATAGTCTCCCTCTGTGTGTATATATACATATATGAACATATGCAAGTGTTCGGACTGAAATATAAAAATGTCTTTACTTGTGAACTAATTTCACACATTGTCACACAATGTTATTATTTACTACATAACCAGTTGTCTCTTAAGAGAGAAATTAGAACAATTATTATTAAGATGCCAGTTAAAGGACGTTGCTCATGAAGATAAATGCATTTTTTTCCATTCTTGAAATGTTCTGTCAAAATCAAAAAGAAACACTTAGAAATAGACTTACAATCCTATGTGAATGTTGTCTATTAGGTTGGGAAATCAGGAAGGTAGAATCTTATATTTGTATGCTTTTACACTGTGCAGCTAGCTGCTACAACAATGACTAAAAGGGGCAGAACCCTTGTCAACCTGATTCTATGGAAAAACAATCCTCATATCAGTGTGTCTTGTGTATAGAGTGATAATCCTCCCCTATAAGTAGTGAATTTCTAAGTAGGAGGCTCTGGAAAGGGGAAATGGTAGGCATATATCTATATTCCCCAAAACAGTTTATTCTTTTTTTTTACTTTTGAGACTTGGCTTAGTCAGGGTTAATATTGCTATGAAGAAACACTATGACGAAAGCAACTTGGGGAGGAAATGGTTTACACTTCCATATCATTTTTTATCATCAAAGAAGGACAGGAACTCAAACAGGGCAGGAACCTGGAGGCAGGAGCAGATGCAGAGGCCATGGAGGGGTACTGCTTACTGGATTTCTCTTCATGACTTGCTCAGCCTGCTTTCTTATAGAACCCAGGACCCAGGGATGGCACCACCCTCAATGGACTAGGTCCTCATATCAACCACTGATTAAGAAATGTCATATCTTTTTTATTCTTTAATTACTACTCATATTTCCATATCCATCCCCCCATTCCCTCACCCATCCATCCTCCCATGTTCCCAACCAAGCCCCCAACTCACCCCCAACTCCTCTCCAGGGATAGTCAGGCCCCCCACCAAGGACCTTCAAAGTCTGTCAAATCATTTGGGGGAGGGCATAGGCCCTCCTTGCTGTATCCGGGCTACCATAGTATCCCTCCATAGGGAATGGGCTCCCAAAGTCAATTGTGCTCTAGAGATAAAGATGGCTCCATTGTTAGAGGTCCCATAGACTCTCTTGGCCTCCTAGCTGGTACCCACATTCAGAGGGTTTGGTTTGGTCCAATGCTGTTTCCCCAGCTTTATGACAAGGGTCTCCATGCTATCCATAGGTCAGATCCACTGTTTCTGCAGGTCTCTCCAGCCCTGTCTTGACTCCTTTGCTCATCCCTTCTCCCTCTCCACAACTGCATTCCAGTAGTGTGGTTCAGTGCCTAGCTGTGGTGTCTGTTTCTGCTTCAAACAGCAAAAGGATGAAGGCTCTCCTTCTCTACTTCCCTCGGGTTCCCATATGTTCAATGATGTTCATAGCAGCAGTATTTATAATAGCTAGAACCTGGAAGCAACCTAGATGCCCCTCAACTGAGGAATGGATAGAGAAAATGTGGTACATTTACACAATAGAGTACTACTCAGCAGAAAAAAAAAAGCAATGGAAACTTGAAATTCCAAGGCAAATGGATGAAACTAGAAGAAACCATCCTCAGTGAGGTAACCCAATCACAAAAAGATAAACATGGTATGTACTCACTCATTTTTGATTTTTAGACATAGAGCAAAGGATCATTAGTCTACAATCTACACTACCAGAGGAGCTAGGAAACAAGGAGGACCCCAAGAGCAGATTGCATAGTCCCTCAATGAAGGGGATGGTGACAAGAACCCATGACCAAAGTGGGAAATGTCATATCTTATGAAGACATTTATTCAATTGAAGCTCCTTTATCTCCAATGACTCTAGAATGTATCAAGTTGTCATAAAACTAGCCAGTATAAGATTATGCTATAACGGCATCATTTTCCCCATTTACCCTTCCTTGTTCTCTATCAAATTTATGGCTTCTTTTTTTTCAGTTGATGTTAAACACACATGTGCATGCAAGTGTGTGTGCGTGCGTGCATGCGTGCATGCGTGCCTGCGTGCATGTGTGCATGAGTGTGTGTGTGCGTGTGTGTGTGTGTGTGTGTGTGTGTGTGTGTGTGTGTGTGTGTGTGTGGCCTGAATGCTTTCTCCTTAAGTACTGACTTTTACAGTTATGAGAAGGTGCCATGCAAGCTTCCAAAGGAGGGAAGCAATAGGGGAACTTACCTTTGGCAGCAGCTAACAGCTCTGTTATTGGACACAAGCTGTCTTTTAAAGGCAGCAGATTCTACATGCCCTCAGTAAACAAGTAGAGAAAGCAAAGACCAGATCACTGGAAGAAGCTGATTCATCTCAACAGCAAGAATCTAGGAAGCTAAGTTAAGCAAACATATTCACCATGGTGGAAAGATTGTTTTTGTCTTAGAGCCTGACAGTATCTGTTGGCAAAATATGACAGTAACTTGCTGTTTTCATTTTTCTGTGGCTCCGTCTATCCGAGCCTGAAATTGTCACTTTCTTTGGCTAACTGCTAAATCACAAGCAATAAAGGAGCTGGTTATTGTTTTAATTGTGCTAACAAGCGAAGGCGTATGAGGAAAAAACTCATGTTTCACTCCACTTGCCTTCCATTTGTGGACCTGCCATTCTGATTTATTTGAGACTTATGCCACTCCAGCCTCTGAGCTAAATTATATAGTCAGTTTTCAGCTTCAACAAATCCTCTCCGGGTCCTGCTGTGTTTCTTTAATGGCAAGGACTGGTGCCTTCCATCTGTAAGGGAAGCATGCTTTGCATGTGAACTACCACAGGGCAGAAAGACAACTAGCAGGAAGGAGCTGCTGTTCAATAATTCCTTCCCTTCTGATGTATGCTTGTTTTTATTTCTTGTAAACACTTAGGAGTGGAAATCAGAAAATGATTTAGAAAGAAATGTATTTTTTTAACTATGGAATTGGAAGAGTGAATATTTGTTCTGTATGCAAATATTTGAGAACAGAATGTCATTGCTTCATGAACAAATTCGGCAACAGGCTCTAAGATCTGGTTTGATCACCTTGGGTATAACTGATTGGGAAACCGTAGGTTTCTTTGCCCTTTTGTTTTATGTCCATTTAACCTGATAGAGACACAAGTTCATCCTAGCTATAGGACAGTCCGCTGGGAGTACATAACAATTTCAAATGTATCTCAAATTAAAATAGGGGAAGGAGTCAAAACTCCCACAGGGGGTGGAGAACTGAATTATTATCCTTTATATTGGCCTAAAAGTAGAATTATATTCTCCTTATACTCTATTTTCCCAAAATTTGATTTAATCTTCCTTCCACCGGGCAGAGTAACAAAAACAATAATAACTCACAGCCACCTACAGATGGAATCGTCTTTGCAAATGTCTGCTAGGAACAAGAGAGACCAACCTGGAGTTCACACTAAAGACCCAGAGCACAGAAAACATAAATCTTACAGATGTTCCATGTGAGAATGGATACTTCCTTACCAGCAGCAATTTCATTTTGCTTGGAGTTTATGAGATTTAAATGAAATTAAAACTACTGGAAAGGCAGTTTTTACAATAGTATATTCAAGCTACATTCTTCTCATAAAAGAAAAGATCTCTTCTTCTTCTTCTTCTTCTTCTTCTTCTTCTTCTTCTTCTTCTTCTTCTTCTTCTTCTTCCTCTTCCTCCTCTTCTTCTTCCTAAATGATAGTGAGTCTTCAGTTACCATATTCTTGGTAAGAAGAGAAGAAAGAAATCCATGCCCAAATTTTGTGACAGACATTTGAAATGTCACTTCACCCAGATCTGAAAATGCCATCTTCCAAACCTATGAAGAGGCTACACTAGGAACATAAAGCAGCACTTCCTTGTTAATGTCTCTACTGTATATTTTCATTTGAAAATCTATTTTCATTAAAGAGTTGTCATCAAAGGAATTCTATTGGTTCAAATGTAATCAGTTCTTTTCAGCATTCACAAACCAATCTAAAATATAGAACCAATTTCTAACAGCATCCCACTAAGGACTAACCAGAGAACCAAACAAAATCCTGATTGTAAAATATCCACAATCTCATTAATAATATTTGTCCCTATACCCAAAGATATGTATCGTCCTCAACCCTCATCAAAGAAACGTCTCTTTGTAACAGAGACCATTATAGAAAACTACCAACCAATCAAAATGGACTGTGAGAGCCCAGTTCCAACTGACACATCAGCACCACAATTCCAGAATCTAAAGTTTGGGGATCATTGTGGAAGGGGGTGGAAAGACTGTGAGAACCAGAGGGTCAGAGAGTTTGCTGGAGTTTAGGTCTCCTGGAAACATCAGAGAAGCTATACCCTGAAGTCTCACCAATATGACCTCCTAAACAGCAATTAACAACAATAAAGGAAAAAGAGATCAAGAATATGAAAAAGAGCAAGGGAGGAGGTCACATGGGAGGGTTTCTGGGAGGAAAGAAAAAGGAAATGATAATACCAGAATTTCAAAAAATAAAAGTATAAAAAGTAATATAATATTAATTCAATGTATACTTCCATCATTGGAAGGAGATGTATATGATCCCCTGAGCAACTACCAAACAATAAAGAGAAGTTGTAAGGTTAAAATATCACCAGATAAATCAAAATTATAAACTGCATATTCATCTGTAAACTCTAATAAGGTTAAAGAAAAGCCTCCTAGGAAAGCAGAAATAATATCAATAATGAAACGGAAGTACAATGGACGGCCAAAACTTAACTCTTAAAAGCACATTTAGAAGACGGTTATTGCCAAATATTATACAAATATTCAAGACTTGTTTATATGTAGTCTATAAGAGATGACTCAGAAATAAGTGAAGAATAAATACAAAAAGAACAGAAGAAAGCATATCATACAAACAAGGAATATAAAATAGCTGTGACCAGATCAGTTTCAAGGGTAATAGACTTTCAGATAAGTACTACTAGATAAAGAGCAAAATCTCAGTTATACAAGAGTAAATACATAATAAATATGTAAAGAACTATATATACATATGTATATACCCTATAATATGACTTTAAATGCTACCATAAAGCACCTTGCTCCCAGTCACAATTGAATTTCGAAAACAATATCACAACAATTTGTATCTAGATTTTCCATATGTTTTATTTTCTTATTTAAATTTATTTTGGAATTTCACAAGTGAGTAATATCATTTCTATTCTTCCTTCTATTCTTCTGACTCCTCATATGTCCCTCCCCTCCTTTTCAAGTTTATCACTTTTTCTTTATTATTGCTATATGTATATACATATATCCATGTATTGATAAATGCATAACAAACAATTGAGTTCATTTATTGTTGTTAATATATGCATGTATTTAAAACTTACCACTTAGGATTAGATAGTTTGTCAGGGAGCTTGTCCTGAAGAACACTGATTATCCCTCTCAGCAGACAGTGATCTTCATCTAGAGGTAGAACCTTGTGAGATTTCCCCAATCAATGTTGGCATGTCAACCGGTGCTGTCATTAGGCAGAAGTTGTTTAAGGCAACATATTATTAAGATTTAATGGGCAGAGCTTTCTTGTTGTGTCTAGAAGATACTATCTAGTTTCAGGGGTCCAATGAATCTCAGAATTTTTCTTGCCCCTTTTTTGTGAGTTTCTCCAAGCCTTAGATATTGGGGTTACAGTGCAGATGTGTTATTTGTGCCTGGGTCTGGCATAGTCACTTATTTTATGAATTTTGATCTGTTGTGGATTTCTGTAATCATCTCCATCTATTAAGAAGGAAGCTTATCTATCAGCATAAGGATGAGCATTTAAAATAAAATTAGTAACAATATTGGATTATGAAATGACAGTAATAGATCCTCCTCTATGGTCTGTGATCTCTCCAGCCACAGGTAGTTGGCTAGGTTTGTAGTACATGGCATGAATTACCTGCTATTGAGTGGCCCTTGGGTCTAATTAGACAGCTGTTGTTTACCCCCAAGACAAAAGTGTCATTATTGTTCCATTGGGATATCTTATCAGTCCATGCATTGCTGTGGTTCATAGACTTTACAGCTTGGTAGAACTATTTATTGCTCTCTTGGCAGCTTGCATAATGCCTTCGGGTACATTGAGGGCTAGTCTTTAAGGAGTAGGCTTATGTATCAGTTCCAACTTGATTCCTCCAAATCCCAGGGTATCCAATGTGGGTAGTATCTTCAACAAAAGGGGGCTTATTTCTTAAATCTACATACTAGGGACTCATATCCAAATTGCCCCATATTTCTCTCCCACATCATTTACTGTACACCTTGGCAATTCATTTTGTATGTAGTACAATGATTTTTCAGTCCTTTACTTACTTTTATATTAAAAATAATTCATGTGATTGTGTCTACACTGCTTAGTTTTCTTGCTTTTTTTTCAAAATTCTTTCTAATGTTCACTTAGGAAACATTAACCTAATCTACAGATCTTTTTGAGAACACATTACAGAGTACAATAGTGCTGTGTCTGAACATTGGGATCTCCACTCCAGATATTCACATATTGGAACCTAGTGCTCAACAAGTTCATATTAAGATACAGTGTCCTTGGAAGTTGATTAGGTCATGAGGAATTGATCCCCATGAATTGTCAGCAGGAGTGCTGCCTGGAATAGAGATAGCACTCTAAGCTGTCAGTCCCCTCAGCAGCCTGAAGAGTAGATATCAGAAACTTCTATTTAAGTAAATATCAAGGATTTGCAGCAAAAAAAATTATTGTCAAGAGATTTAAGTATGTAATGGGAATTGGGTGTAACAAAAAGAGAGGCACTCAGGTCAATGATAAGACATACTCACGTGTGGATGTGTGCTCTGTAAGACAAAGAGTTGTGCTTAAATATTTTCACAAAAATGTGTGTTTTGGTAGATTCTGAAGTTATGTCTCAAAGCCTTGCTTAGAATCACTTGGTAGGGCATCCCCTGGGGGCACAGGATAGGACTATAGTCGGTGAGGAAAATATCCAGATCACAAGGTTTGCATGGGAAGGAAAGATGTTTTTTACTGTGAGTGAAAGTTTGTAGTCTTGTTTGTGAGGTTCCCAGAAAATTGAAGCTTTACCTCTGAGACAGGAATAAAGCCATTCCCAAAGATCATATTCACTTAGGCCTGTAGCACTACTATACTTACATTCTTGCCTGAAAATATCTCCATAAAAAAAGAATACTGCTGTGTAGGCAACTTTCACAGCAAATGGTAATTATGCAAGAACTCTTGACTCTCAGCTGACAAGAGATGTCAACCAGACTTCAGGATTAATGGACTTTTTCCCATGTTCCCTTATTTTTCTTTATCTTTCTAACCTAAGGTTGGCAAGCAAGAGGAATAGCCGAGAAGCATAGGACTCTACATGATTTGAGCTAAATACCTACCCTTCTTTAATAACACCTCTGGCAGTCTGAGATTCTTACGTGCATACACTATGCACACACCACCCACTGTGACCAATGCACCTAGAAACTTGTTAGCAACCTAGGAACACCATGCCCCATGCATCAAACCACAAAAAACACCCTGTTTGGAACAATAGAATATTTCTCCTTTCCTAACGAATACTGAACTTGGACAGTTTCTATTCAAACTTATTCCAAGTGTATTTTATCACAAGGGGAAAAGGACCAATCTGTGCTAGGCAGGCTTTGGATACAATCCTATAAAACTGTGCCCCCATGTGAATCTTTAAGCAGCACCATGGTTAAAATCTTGGTATGAGCCATGAACAACAGTTTCTCTGTCAAAACAGAGGACCACCCAAGCCACATCCTCCTCTTGGACTCCACAAATGAAGCCCAAGCAATGAGAGTCGTTGAGTGTTTGCACTCCATGGACCTTGCAATATGTTGTGGCCTGTTCTATGACTTTGCTTTATATAATGTGTCCACAATATGTGGGCTTTTATCTAATTTTTAATTAGAGGCTAAGAACCTGGAAACATTCCATCTAGACCTAGTAGTGTTTACTTTGGAAAACTGGCTTGGGGGAGCCTGGTTGTCCCTACTAGCATCTTTGGTACAGAGGACAACCCTCACCATACAGTCTGTGGGAACCTCACTCTTGGCCTTCCTATCCTCCACAACTGTGAGCAATGAATGGTTGTTATGAATCACCCAATCTAAATCATTTTCTTTCTTTATCACAGCAGATTTCTAAGCAAATATCCTCAAAATTAAGATCTTTGTGGTAGGGAAACAGAATTTCTCCTTGAACAATGTATTGAACTTTCTAATATCAAATATTCTATAGTGAGAATTAAATTCTGTGTTCTGTGCAAATTAAAGCACCCCTGAGGGGGAAGGGGATAGGGAGTTAGGAGAAAGAGAAGGGGAGAAGAGAAGGAGTAAAGAGGGCATGAAGGAACAGGAAGATCTAGTCAGAGAAAGAATAGAGGAGAGCAAGAAAAGAGAAACCATAATAGAGGAAACCATTATAGGCTTAAAGAGAATTATGGCACTAGGGAAATGTCCAGAGATACAAGGTTGACCCCACAGGTCTAAGCAATAGTCAAGAGGCTACCTTAAATGCCATTCTCTGATAATGAGATTGATGACTACCTTATATGCCATCCTAGAGCTAATAGAAGCAGAAACAGACACCCACAGCTGATAGAAGCAGAAGCAGACACCCACAGCTAAACACTGAGCTGACCTCAGGAATCTAGTTGCAGAGAGGGAAGAGCAATGAGCAAAGGGGTCAAGACTAGGCTGGAGAAACCCACAGAAAGAGCTGACCTGAACAAGGGGTTACTCATGGACCCCAAATTGATAGCTCAGAAACCAGCATAAGACTGTTACAGACCCCCTGAGTAGTCAGTTTGGAGGTCTGTACAATCTATGGTGCCACTGGTAGTGGATCAGTATTTACTCCTAGTACACAAACGGACTTTGGGAGCCCTCTCCACATAGAGGGATACTGGGGAGGGTTTAGGCCCTGCTCCAAATGATATGACAGACTTTGGAGATCCTACATGGAAGGCCTCACCCTCTCTGGGAACAGAAAGGGGTTGGGATAGGGGGTTGATAGGGGGCAAGAGAGGAGAGGAGGGAGAGGGAACTGGGATTGACATGTAAAAGAAGCTTGTTTCTAATTTAAATAAAATAATAATAAAGCACCCATGAACACTCCCCTCACCAAAGCTCAGTTTTGCAATTTCAGAAATTTTAAACAGAATTTATAGCATTATCTTTTCATCATCTTTCGTCTAAAAGCAGAGAATTCAATGACAGAGCTGAGTGATCAAATCATAAAAATAATTATGCAAAATGGCATGAATTATTCTCACTATCTAGTTGGGCTAAAAACTCAGAAACAAAATGATGGCAATGAAGAAAAAATACACTATAAGTTTTTCAGAACTACAGCTAAGCCTTTTTTCTTATCTCTTCAGTAATGGACCAAGACAGAGACCACTTAAGAAAAGCATAAAGATGGACTAAAAACAGAACCACACCCAGTTAGCTGAAGTTGGATTATGTTATTAAACCTTGTGGTTAGATTTTTTTTCTTCTATAAAGTAGAAGTGAGAACATTATGTTCTTGATAAAGTTGCTACCTAATTAAAATGAGTTTTCAAATATAATCTGCTCATAATCATATTTGGACACATGGAAAACATTCCAACAACTGTAAGTTATGCTTTTATGAGTCTCTAATCCAAACCAACAGCATTGATACTGAGAAACGCACGGTCTTGCCTTCCATCCTGCCCACTCTCCTGCCCATGTTTATGAAGATAAACATGCTTGAGAAAGAACATGTTAATAAAAACAATCTGGGGCTATTGTTTTGGTTGGTGCTGGGAGTTGAAAAGGGCATTATGTAAACTAACCACACATTCGAGTCACAAAATTTTAATCTTGAGTTTTTGAGAGTTTAATTGCCTCAAGCCATTTCAATAATGTGTTTGCATCTATACCTTAAAATTAGAACGCACCTGTGCAAAACACCATAGAAAATGATTTATCTCTATTGAGTCTAACTCTCATAATAATCATGTAAATAAACTAGATATTAAATATGAAAAAGCCAATGGTTAATATTGATTGACAACTTGACACATCTAGAAATACCTAGGTTCTGGGCCTCAAGACTTTCTTGAGAGAAGCTATTTAGAATATTCATGCCTGTGAGGTAGCTTCTGGTTTGGCTGATTTAGATGAGAAGACGTGCACTAAATATGAGAAGTGCCATTGTCTAGGCTGAGACCCTGGACTTCATCAAAAGGAGAAAGCAAGTCAAGCAATAGCCTCAATCACACTCCCTGGCAGCATTAGGCTCCTGCTAACTCATCTTCAGTGCCATGATGGACAGTATCCCCTGAAACTTCGAGCCAAAGTAATCCTTTCCTTCCTTAAATTGTTTTTGCCAGGTATTTTTATAGCAAAGAGACAAGTAATTAGTACCTAATTCATTCCTATGATTTCAGATGCTACATATCTCCCAATTACACCCATTTCTGTCTTATAAACTAAATGCAACTTCCCTTAGAA